GAAGAAGGGGGGGTGAGGTGGTGAATAACTGGTTACGCAGGCTATATTAGCGGCCAATAGCGGGTACATCATCCGCACATACAACTTGCAATAGGGGACAGCACGAGCATCGCTTGATTGCTATGGCAACATGAGGTAGGTACAAAAATCTACATCATATGATGACTATGATCAGTTGATTAGTTCGTAAAAAATCAGTAAAAAGTTAAAATTTGTTGCTACAAATTTAAATATTAGCAATTTTTAAGCAATTTACGCAAGATCGATCTCAAAAAATAGCCACTCCATTTAAGAAGGCTTGTTTTTTTGCTGCAAGCGTCAATACTATAATTCAAGTAGACATTTGTAGGTGTAATAATGGGTGCGCAGCCCAGCCAGCCCTAGACCAGCAAATTAACTCAAATCAGCCCTGTAGTCAATATCAACCTTCTAAATGCTATAGATATTGTCATCCTGGCTCCTAAGCAGCTGTACCTAATTGACGCATCTCACCACACGAACTTTAAACCAATAATGTTTCAGCTCACTAACTACTACTCCACATAGTTGACGGTCAATACGTCGTGCTCCAATGATCCCGTATTAATATCGTTGCCAATTGTCATGCGACATGATTTCATGAACCCATAGACATCACATAGTGGAACTAGGATACCGGTTGGGTGAGTTGAAAATGAAGTTAGGTTTTCCGTACTAATAAAAAAGTTATTGATGTAAAAATTTGAAAAAATTCCGTCCATAAATTACAGATGTTATCTACTTATATTTCAAATTTGAATAAAATCCGTCTATTATTTATGGATTTATGGCTGGGTGAGTTGAAAATGAAGTTAGGTTTTCCGTATTAATAAAAAAAGTTATTGATGTAAAAATTTGAAAAAATTCCGTCCACAAATTACTGATATTATCTACTCATATTTCAAATTTAATTAAAATCCGTTCATTATTGATGGATTTATGGCTGGGTGAGTTGAACGTCAAGTTAGGTTTTGATTCGAGTTCGCAGGCCAGTCCGCAGCCGAGTCCGCTGAAGTGTCGATTCGGTAACTATAGGATTTGACCAAGAAAAGGCGCGACATGGAAATAGGAAGTTATGAAATGAAAGTGTGACGGGAAGAAGTGTGTTGTCGTTCATCAGTGTTTGAATTTCAACTCAGAAGATATTTAATATGAATATGAGCCTTGTTTATTTTGCTTTATTCACTCGATTATTTATCTTAGAATTTAGAATACAAGATCAGAGCAGAAAGTTGCAGTACTAAACCCGCAGCAAGTTGTGAAAAATCTAGTCAAGGTTTCTTGGTGGGTAAGAACAGAAAAATCGGAACAGAGAGACGTAGGTTCGAAACCATGCATACTTTCAAAATCATGCGCTGCATGAATAGAGATCAAAGCAAGAGGTCAAGTATGAGTTGCTCTTTAACTCTGAACCACTTTTTCAAAATCATTATTTCACCTAATTGTTTTCAGAGCCAGAAGGGTTACGTGAGACCATTCGGAAACTCAAATTATCAATTGCTTGTTCGACAGGAGGCCACGCCAATTAAAAAATTATTCTCATCTCATAGAAGTACTTCGAAGCATGCCTCAGCCTGTCACAAGTTTCGTGGACTTCATGATCCTATGACCCCTCGCCATCGACTTCATGATCCTATGACCCCTCTAAACATTACCGATTTTATGCTAAATGGTTATTTAGGCATGGTACTCTTAGCTTCCTTAGTTTAGCTTAGCTGCACAGCAAACATCTAATGGTAGCCAGACTCGTCCCACATGCGGAAAGCATATCTGCTGTTACTGAGTGCACTGCAGCAGTGATATGATACGGTTCTTCGGATCAACCAGTTGAGTTGCTGGTAGAGGCGGGACGTAAACAGAGTTGCTGGTAGACGGTAGAGGCGAGATATAAACAGAGTTGATGGTAGAGGCGGGACGTAGAGTTGCTGGTAGAGGCGGGACGTAGAGTTGCTGGTAGAGGCGGTTTGTAAACAGCTTCCTTGACGTAACCCCATTAGAAATAATCACATGAAGCGAGATCAGGTGATCTCGGTGGCCAGTAGTGTAGAGCCAGATCTTCATTTCCTGTGCGTCCTATAGCGCTACCCTGACGTACAAAAAGTTTAGGAGGGGGATATATATTTCGGAGCACAAAAAGGAAATATAGAGCATTTATAAATATGTAAATAAAAAACTTTGAAACTTTTTCTATACATTGGTGGATAAATGAATCATTTAAATTTATAGCTGAATAAAAATACGAATTTATTAAATTGTGTCTAACTTTTATAATAACCGTGTACGTACATCGTAATTAGAGCTCATTTTTAATTTTCAACTTTAACTCTATAAAAGTAAACCAAAGTAAACCACAAGGAGAAGCTTTTCAGCCCTCTATAGATGAGGTGCTTCTATAGTGAAACCAAGCTTTTTTAAAATCAATTATACCTCATTAATAAAATGAATAAATTTGAAGAGACTTGAAGCGCAGTTGAAGTCCTTCCCTTGGATGTGCTGGGTTGTTCGTCTGCAAGGCCCTTAACTTCATTGAAATGAGCTATTGCTTATCGTTGCTGCCAAAGTCCATTCCTCTGTACTAATCGGTATGGGGGCTTCGGTTTAAATAGCAATATTTTTGCATTGCCTTAAACCATTGTAGCTGGGGAGCATTTTTGCGTACTGGGACAGTTGAAGTCTGAGCAGCACATACGAGAAAATAATATTACTTATGTCATCTAGACCATTCACGAGGATCTATGAATCGAAAAATTATCACAATTTAATTCTGATTTAGTCGAAATTATTCGTATAAACCGTAGCACATTTGTTATAAGCTTAATATTTATCTGCGAATGTATAGAGGCCAGCCACATCACAAGGTCTAATAACCTGATGGTGCTGGTCACCAAAGCGGTTTAGATCGAAATATAGAAAATTAATTTTTCTGTTGAAGCAAACCAACCAAATTAAATTATCTCGGTTACAATCTTAGCTGCGACATCATAACCTGCACAAATTGGGATGAGAACAAACTCGCTGTGTATGTGTACCTGTTTCATTGAAGGGAAGATTAGAATTTTTTGTTATAATTTATTATAAATAATTTTATTTATCATTATTATATTTTTATACGTTTATACTTCAAGACGAACCTTACATAATTTATTTATTTGACAAAACGTACTGCACTGTAATTATTATGAAAAATAGTTAACTATTCATAATTATCCCGAAACTCGCATGCAGTTTTATGTTGAATGATCCATGGTTGAATTATAAACCAGTTCAACCACGGCGTGATCTCCGCGTAGCTCCTCTGATGCACCCACCTCGGACGAGTCCACTAGAGGAATGACAACAGTAACACATATCCGCAGGAAGTCGGGGACTATACGAGTACATGCGAGAGACACGGGGCGGTGAACTGCCATTAGGTCTGTTTTCGCGATTTTATATAACCTACAGGCTCACATGCATGTTGCAATATTTATTAGAATCTTACAAAAATTTGAATACTTAGACCCGTTAAAAAAAATTTAATTCTGAGTCAAGTTCCTTTTCCACAAATAAACGAAGGTTCGAAGATTTCTAGCAAAACCGTTCCAGGTTAATAGCAGCCATGACAATATAACAACATCGAACTATTACTCCTCAACCTTCCACGCAATTTGAACAATCCCTCCCTTTTTTTCTAATATAAATGGTCTACCATAAAACCACTCCACCAAATTTCATACATCAAGAAGCTGAAATCCAATCATATAAGTGAAAAAACACTCGGGATACGACACCAAATTTATTTGAACACTTACGAAAAAATTTTTGACTAATTTTTGAAGAGGAAAATCATTATCGGAGCGATTTTATAAACCATCCAGGCTCTCTCAAATAGAAAAGGTGCATAGCGTATTACAAGTCGGTTCCTACCTACTTGTTTAATCCAACTATTCCAATCTGCACTGGGTTATTTGTCTGATCATTGTCGTATTTTGATTTACTATATAACATAACATTTTTCAGATGTTTCACCTCGGTATTTAAAGCCCTGTTGTATTTCCAGTTCCAACCTTTTTCATATGGTGCTTCGGTACCATAGCCTGAAGCTTGGTTGTCAAAAGTTGCAAGTATTGATTAGTAGGAACTCTTTCCACCCCACCAATGCAATGGATCTTTTCTCGCTGTAAGAAAGGACTTTCCAACCATTATTATGTCTATCGTTACTCGATATAAATTTTCGATAGAACTCCAGTTCGTTTAAGTTTCGCAGTCTCGATAAGCAAAGTATGTATTCAGTGATGAATTCAGAAGCATGGAATACTCGCAATCGAGCGTATTCTGAAAAAAAAAAAACGAAAATAATCAGCCTTGATCATGATTTAGTTGATAATTTAGCAATTCTATTCTACTTATAGGGGGAATCTAGCAAAACAAATAAAATCACGTATTATTATTGTTTAAATTTATATGAAATTAGAGGACAAAAACCACCAGACTGAGACTTGCACGGTAATCAGCTAATTGAGGCAATTGTAGTTGATGTAGTAAATCAATTATTTATCATTCATTCAAAAACAAACTTTTGACAAATGAAAATAGAATCTAAAAAAAATTTCAACTTTTTCAACGGAATCGAGTTAAATTCAGATAGCCATATACGCATATTGTATGAACATAAAACAATAGAGCAACTCAGAATTGCCCGTGGAGACATCGGATTGATTAAAAAATAAAAACGTATTACAGCATTGAGCACAATCAAATTGAGGGCGAATTGAATTATGCAGATTGTACAAGCTAAAACCTTGTCTATTGACGATGGGTCAAGTTACAAATTATTTGGGTACAGAGAGCCTTGACGACGTTTCATGGATCCGTTAATTAACTAAGGTTTGAAAAAAATTATCAAAAGCATGTTAATTCGTACGACGGTACCCACGGTTCACCCGGAATTGTTTCTCTCCTATTTACAACCTGAATATTGCTTAGCATTCATGTAAATTTTCAATATTTGTCCATCCTTCAGAAAATCCCTTCCATGAATTGTAACAATTTCTTTAATCTTGGCAATGCTCTGTGACGCAGACAGTCCTTGTATTTCTTTTGATACTTCTTCAATCTGCAGACCATACATTGGATCACGGTTACACTGAACTTGTATAAGCAAGGCTTGAACTCGATTCAGACACTCGTCAACTATTACTTTTTGAACAAATGACAAGTCTGACTTCTTTAGATTTGTCAGTTTTTGGTGGCAAAGTTGGAGAACATCTTGCTCCTGTTGTGAGAAAATGTCCATGGGATCTTGGCCCTTATCCCTGGCTTCCCTTGCAGATCGCAAAATTACCGATATCGGCATTGAAAGTTGGCCAAATTTATCTGGCATATCATTCAACATGTTCAAAGTTTCAACAACTTCGAGAGGGTCAGTGGATCTCACTAGTTCATCGGAATCGCCTGCAAGACCGCCATTATTGCGGTTAACTGATGCACTTCCAGTCACTCCACGACTCGGGTCGGACTTAGAATTTTCTTTGTGGTGGTTACGTGCGCCAGTTTCTAAGGATATTTCAGAGCCAACGTCATCCAACAGGTCACTGAACTGTGGGATTGACACAGAGGTATCTCCATCTTGATGTTCGCGCAACTCAACTGCTTCATTCTTGCCAGGTACAAGCAAATCAAGGCTTTCTCCTTTGACTAAATTTCGCTCGTTTTCTTCAATCACGGATAAGCAGCTGGTCTTCTTTTCATTCCAACTTCTGGTAAATAACATTTCCATGTGCGAGCGCCACGCCTTGTCAATTTCTTCTTCCACGAGAGTGCCTGCAGCTGCCTTGGATCTTTCTCGCTTTTCAAGATACCATTGCCGCCATTTTTTATAATCAGGATGAAGAGTTGGCTCTCTACGGTAAGTATCGCACTCCCGTTCGTGTATACCCCACAAGGTTTTCAAAGCAGCAAGGAGTTTTTGTTGGCGGTTGGATGAATCATTTACGTTCTTAGACCCATCACGATGATGCCGATGTTTACCTGGTGTCTTATCGGTAGATTCTAGCACCTTATTTCTAGGGCTTAATGATCGGTCGTTACTAAAAGAAGACCGATGCCGTGGGCTGCGAGATCGGTTGAGAATGAAAGGAGAACGATGTCGTTGGTACGGAGATCGATCTTTAATGGAAGAAGACCGATGTCGTGGGCCGGGAGATCGATTGAGCGAGAAAGGTGACCTGTGTCTTAGGCTAGGATATCGGCTGCGAGTGAAACGTGATCGCTGCCGTGGGCTTGTTGATTGACTGCGACGGAAAGGTGATCGTTGCAGTGGACTAGTAGATCGGTATCGCTGGTGAGGTGATCGCTGCCGTGGGCTTGTCGATCGATATCGATGGTAAGGTGATCGATACCGTGGGATGGAAGATCGGTTGCGGTGGTAAGGTGATCGCTGCCGTGGACTGGTAGATCGGTTGCGATGGTAAGGTGAACGATAACGTGGGCTACGAGAGCGGTTGTGCGAGAGTGAACCGGGCGATGGATTGCGAAGGTCAGGAGGGGATATTGGCGACAAGTTGCGGTTGGGTGATCGAAAACGAGTGAAAGAAGCTCGATCAGAAGAATGTAATCTGAAATGGAAACCACACGATTCATTGCCAAGGGGAGACAAAACACTGTTTGATAGTTGTCGATCTCGAAAAGGCGATTGCACACGAAAACTATTGGACCGAGTAAAGACAGGAGACTGAGTTCGATGATTTCGGAAATCTGGAGATCCTTGAGGGAAAGATAAGCGATTGTGTGAAGTACGGGGATGCTTGCGTCCAGGAAAGTGATTAGAACGAGGAGATACAACATCATAGAATGGAGAACTGTCACGATACGAGGGATAACGCACAAGATGGGAGCGGAAGGGAGAACTGTTGCGGTCATAAGGCGATCTACTACGTTTTGAGTCATAGGCAGGGTGATGTCGGCCATCGTTTTCGACGAGACGACCGCGGACAGGGTAAGATCGAACAGGAATGTTAGCAGATCGGTCTTGAACCGCGGGAGAACGATCTCGGGTACGAGACAGTCTGTTATCGAAAATAGGTGAATCTCGGTAAGGAGAATAAGGAGATCGATCCGAGCTAATCCGTGGATATCTGGAAACACGAGGAGATCGACTACGGTATGTGCGAGGTTGAGAATGGCTAGCCACTGAAGAGTCATGTCTGACAAAGTTTTCATCTCCAAGTAAAGTATCACGGTGTCGTTTCAAAGACTGACCCCCATGTTCGCCGCGCAAAAGTTCAGTTACAATATTAAACCGGGACGCCCGTGAACTGTCTTCAAATCCTGCCCTATCGTCGTAATCATGATGATAATTCAAATCAATAAAATCGTCCCTCAGCGGAATATTTTGGTCGTAAGTGCAAGCTCCATGTTCTGTTGTTGCATTATTTACCCTCGATAGCCTGGAGTGGTCGAAGTTACGTCGACTGCAACGAGTCGCGACGCTGGATTTCTGAGACCATTCTTGTAATTCAGGGTCCTCACATCCTCGAATATCCGAGCGTTTACGGATTTGATCAAGAAGTTGAGTTTTCAGTTCAGTTCCACGTGATGTACGTGTCGCGCAATTTCTTCTCTGTGAATCGGATACTTCGTTGGTTCGACGCAACGAACTACGCAAGTCGTAGATTTCCTCGGAGTGAACATGCATGCTGAAAACGGAGCTTTGGCCAGGAGAACGACTTCTGCTTCCACGTGCACATCCACCCTGTTGTTGTTTCCTAGTTGATTGATTAAGACTCTGGGTTCGTTTTTCAAACAGGGTGGTCTTGTTTGTACGCCCATGCATGACTTTGGATAGCAACTGCTCGGCCATGACATCAACCAGAGATTCAAGGGATGTACGAGTCAACTTCAAACCTTCAAACTCCATCACTACAGGTTGTCGATTACGATGCGATGTAAATACGTTAAATCGTACATCTACAGAGGAAGTATTCTCGCGAAAAATTTTTTCGTTAACGTCGGAGACGAGTGACTTCATTAATTCATCCTCCTTCTTGCACAAGTCTGACGTAAAATCGTTCTCCAGATTATGATTAAACTGACTGTGGTGTTTCGAACACAAGTCTTGCAAAAGGCGCTGGTAATTAGCCTGATAAAGAGGAGTGAATATCACTGTACAGTGTGGAAGATTTTCTACAAGTTTTTTTGTTTGGTGAATGACAGAAATAATTTGTTCTACCTTGGCCTGCTTTGAAGAAGTACTCCCAATACATGGATAGTTGAATTTATCGTGCCCATCACATTTATCAAAATCTTTTAATTCCAAATAGTACGACACACTAGATGACCAAACAAACAAAATATTCTCCTCTTTGTGTTTGGATGATAGTTCTTTTATGCACTCAGAAGGGCAGGATTCACAGGGTACTTCTTCGAAAAGAGTGGTGATAGGAAAATCCTTAGGCCAGATTTTACTAATTTCTGTCATATCTCCATCAACCAGAAACACCAGCAAAGAAAATGAATGTTTTCCGCAGCGTTCAATAAGTTCCGAGAGACGAGAGGTAGTGTCGTGAAGAACCTTAGTATGTGGTATCCTCCCATTGATTACTAAGGGTAAGAGAGCAGGAACATATTTTCTTTCGTCGGGAAAAACCCTATCTGCCCACGAGACGATGCTCCATGCGGAGAGATCAAATCCTTCTTTAAAGTAAGCTTCAGTCAGCAGCCTGTTGAGCTGTGCACATGCAGATGCATATGAATGAGAGACCAGCGGCGCGTTGGCTTCGTATCTGTCAGGATCAATCTGATGGTGGGTGAATTTCTTGTGTGCACTTATCATGTGCCAGCGAACTTTTTTTAGGTTAAAAGGTAAGACAGGCAGAAATACGATCTTTGATGGTAAAGCTTCCTCTGTAATTCTTTGAATGACGTCCATGAAGTCGCGAGGCTCGAGAGACTTGTTGTTTCGAATCTCTTTCAGAGGCACATGTTTCTTAGGAAGAAATTTCTTGTTTTTGCACAAAGGTGACTCGATGTAGATCAACTTTTCCTCAAATCTAGTGAGGACAAACACTAGTACCTTTTTATTTTCTAGGGCATGTTCAGCACAATATTCCTGAAGAATGCCTGGTACTTGATTCACACGTAGTTTATCCACCATGACGGTGTCAGGTATAACTTTTGCATGATTTGGCCAGTGCGATTTAAGATGCTTGAAGCTGTTATCAGCAATCAGAAGAGTCCTCGAGTAGCTCCCAACAGCAGTGGAGGCCGATCCAAACACCTGAAAACAAAATAAGAAAAACTTCAACAAAACAAATTTAGACAAAGAAATATTAATAGCCTAACATCTTTTGAATTAGTATAGCCATTCACCAACTCAAAATTTAGACAAGTGATTGATCGTGCTGACTAAAATTGGAAATAATGTTTAAAAATGAGAAAAAAATTGCAGAATACAATTTAAGGAACAATTATTTAGGTTAGGGTTAACATTTGTTTACATGGACAATACTACTTTGTTTGTTGAGCTATACCCTAATAAAAGTAATGAGGTTAATTCCCAATTTACTTCCGTCCTTAAAATACAGGATAACCCACAAAAAATCTGTCACACAATACTTCAGTCAATATAATGCGTTGATGGATAATTATGGCATATAAATATGTCCATGAATACTCTGGCCATGAAATTTTATCTCTCATCAAAGTCTTACAAAGTTTACACTGGAACAATTTGCAAATAAGTAGACATATAAAGCTAAAAATTACAGCTACTCTTAATTATAAGACAATCCACTTATAAAATATATATATTTTTTCGTAGAAGAAGAACCATCCTCTGCCTGCCACTAGGTACCTGTTGTTTACAAATTTACAAATATTACTACAAATTAGCCAGTAATATGTTGCATTAGCAGTATTTCAAATTACTGAATGTGATAATAATTACCGCATTTAGTAAGTTTACAGTTAGAATTTAATTATAGGAAGGCTGCATCAGATTGGGTAGAGTGTAACATCAACGGCAAATCACTACTAGATTATCTTGCATTAGGTTGTAAACATTTCAATATGCGCTTGGTGGACAAAAAATTCTCGACTATTAATAGGTCAGCTCTCCAAAGATTTGCTCAACTATCTACAAGGCCCTCAGATCCAGTCAAGGGGCTTCCAGTTTGGAAACCCTTTGTTTAAAATGATAAAAAGAGCTGGAACAAAATCAAATTCTGCACAACTGTAACATCAATCCATGATGTACTAGAAGCTATAATTTATGAATCAAGATTGCTTAGAAATTTATTAGACATCAAAATGATTGCCTGCACCACTGTCTACTGTACAGCGTAGTTGTTACAGTGATCATTGCAAACAAGAACATATTATTCTTGCATTATAGACATATTATAGAGAAAAAGTGATGAAAGAAGGGAAATATTTAAAATCTAATAATTTGATTTGGTTCAAAGATCAAGTCTGTCTCTATCAACTTGCATTCAAAGACTATACTGTTTATTACCAAATGAACGGGATTGGTATAATGGAATGACATTCCCATTCCATGAAATGAGTGACAATAACACAAGGGGCAAAGTTGATAAACAAAACGCCAACATACTGTTGATGGCCATAATGAATATAAAGGAATACAAATAAAATTTTAACCCTTGTCATAAATAAAACTTAAGAAATTACCTAAACCAGAGAATGTTAAGCAGTAGTTTGTAATGCAAAGAATTATTGAGTTCAGTACTGTATCTCATTGTTTATGAGTTGCATTACTACTAGCTCTGATGTAGATTACTACTTGGTGTTATTAGGCACAATGAGATTACAGAATCACTTATATATAGTCAGATGGGGTAAGACAGGACTGAAATCACTAACAATCCTGTAGCATCTATACCATGAATAACTAAAAAACCCTAAACCTATCACAAGGTGTATTTATGCAATGGGCTTCTAAGCTACAACTCAGACGTTTTGCATCTAACATAGTTTTCTGTACAGATTAAAAAAAGTGAGCTGGTCCCATCTTACCCCATTGGGGTAAGATGGGACCAACTGGTAATTCTTATGTTACAAGGTTTCTAATAAAAGTTCAATTCTGATAGTATTCAATATTATCCATCTAGAAAGACATTATTTGATTAAACAACCACTTGTTACTGTTTTGTGTTGTGGGAAGTCAACTCTAATATCAGTCACATTGGAGGTTTTGTCACGAGAAAACTTTGTTGACATTAAATGCAGCCATATGATCCATTTAGTCTTTTGAGCAAAAAATATGGATGATATTATATAGCTGGCATAGTTAATTATCATTTTATACTTTACTTTTGCTAGAAATAATAAGAAGTCCAAGAAACTTGCAAGAAACTCCAGTATTTTAGCAATAATGCCTTATTCGAGATTGAAATTTTCAAAGAAATTTGGTGAGAGTGAGCAAAAGATAAAAATTTTGACCAAAATACTCCAGTTACTGCATAATAACATATTCTTTTAAAAACTATTTTTGATATACTGTAGGGTAATAGAGGACCATTTGTGAGGTAAGACTGGACCATATGTGGTGTAAGATATGACCATTTGTGGGGTAAAACAGGATCATTTAGTGGTCCCGTCTTACCCCATGTCCAGTCCTTTTTTACCCCATTTTAGAATACATGTCAGGCAGTGATGGTAGCAGGTAGGAATGTTAAGTATGTCTCAAAAGTTGCTTATTACTTGAGGTTACCTGCCTACATCCACAAACCAGGCCAAAAAATTTTTTGTCATTAGACACAGCTTATTTCCTAAACAGGGTTAACTATTTTGTGACCCTTCTTCACATAGGTTTTCTTTAAAAATTAGCCAGAAATTCAATATTTGCAGAAGAGGGTTGAAACAAACACTGAAATGACAGGCAATGATTGCTCTAACATATTCTTTTGTCAAATTAAATTTAGTGCAATTAGAATGCACACCATGGGCTGGTCCTTTCTTACCCCATGAAGGCTGCGATCCTGTCTTACCCCATTTGACTATATCCCTTCTTTCTTCTTGGAGTAAAGCCAAGTGAAATGCTATATTTCACAAGCAATTATTAGTGGGGGTCTCAAGAACTAGGTACCAGACAAAGCAATAAAGAAGCACTGCAACATTAAAGGACACAGGTTTAATTGAAGCACAGCAAGGATTGAAAATCACTATCACTAAAAGCTTACCCATCTCCCACTGCTTCGTCCACACTGGGAAGAATCTTCACAAGTTTCAAGCAACTCAGCACTTGACGAGACATCAGCTTCATTGAGAAGCTCAGTATCAGCTATGTCCAAATTTGAAGATGAAACAATGCTCTCTTGCTCCAACTTCACAGGAGCCTCAGACTTAATTTCCAAAGTTTTGGGTGTGTAATGAAGAGAAAAACTTCTATCAATTTTAATTTTCCTCCTAGTTGAATGTACAGTTTGAGAGTCAGAGCTTTGAACCACAGCCACACTACTAGAGCTACACTCAGAGTTAATTTGAGCACTCATTGTGGTAGTTGCATCTCACATCAAAATGTTATCTGCAAAATGGGATAAATTAGATGATGCGGGCCCATAAATTAAAATCTGTAACATGGCATCACAAATAGATAAAGGTTTTTTACCTAACTCAACTCTCACAACACTTATCTATACTTGGATATCAGTAGGTACCTATCATATGTCACTTCAAACTTCACTGTTAACACAAATATTTTTCATCTTTTTCAAGATACATCAAAACTTGCAGCTTTAAAAAATTGTGATTCACTATCTTGTCTTTCACAAAATTTCTAACTTCCGCAGTTCATTACCACACTCCTACTAAAATATCCCAAGGTGCAATTCAAAAGTTAACATGGAGGGCTCCTTAACAAACTGTTCCACAGCACCACCTCATATGCATGAAACATCCATGTACTAAGTAAACTTAAGACAGCATTGGCAGGAAGCACCGACAGTCCAACAGATACTAAATTTGAATAACTTCGAAATAAAAGGCCGTATTGAATTCAAGTTTCAAGGAATTAAGTGACTAAAAATAGTAAAAATTTATGTTTCCTTATGGATTTCAATGCTGTTAACATTGAGAAACTTCAAAGTTTCTCTCTCTATCATATACTTGTTAAATGAACTATAATTTGGGTATATAATATACATCACTCAAAATTGCTTTGAGACCAATCAGTCCATTTGGTAAAATAAAATGTGTAAAAGTCTCTAGACCTTGATTGCTGATGTAAAGAACTAGGTATGTGTTAATTGTTAATGCTACTGAATTTTAATAAAAGTTGCAATCCCACATTCCCATGCTTCATAAGAAGTGAAATCTATCACCTGAAATGAGAATTTTCAAGTAAAATATAAGAACTCACATTACATGAATTCCCCCATTACTAGTACAGCAATCCCTTGATTAACGCGGTTAATAAATCCCCGAGTTTTACCGTGTTAAGCAAAACCGCGCTAATCAAACTTAAGAATATATGGGAATAATTATAATGAATCCTCAAAACTAGCTAAGTTACATAATAATTTGTTTTCCACTAAAATTCATCATATTTTGCTTAGTTCAATTCATCATTCAAGCTTAGTCTACAAAGTGATATTTTTACGTTTAAGCGGTCCCTTTTTGTCCATAATTATGACGGTAATTTATCAAGGAAAATTATGTAGTTTGATAAAAGTGAGCAGTAGATATGGCAGCGATCTTGACCAGTTGAAGGCTAACAAGTAACTAGAGCATCGGCATGGCGCAATTACCGCAAACGTTGCCGAACTCGACCATTCGAGTTATGAACGAGACAAGACGTGGTTAAACCGACTCTGTAGTCAGCACGAGTGCCTACGGAACGGGACCTTATTTGAAGAATTATTGACTGAAATTCATAAAGTAACATTATTTGGTGAATTTTTCCAAAAGTTGTAACAAAAGTAACAACATAAGATCTAATAAGCAAAAAGTAACACTTTTGTTACGAACGTAACACCTCTGGCTAGAGGCGGGAAAATGATGAGTTGTGAAAAAAAAAAGTCGTGCTAATCAAAACTGGCACCGCGTAGACTAAGGGTAGGTTGCAAATTTTTTTTCCGCGTTAATCAAAACCGCGGTATTCAAAACCATGCTAATCAAGGGATTGCTGTATGTAATGAAGTCTATCTGTGAAGAGTTTTTTAGGAGTTACAGCAATGGAAGAAATATGGAATGAAATTATTGTGCCACGAAGTTTATTAGTTGGCATTAAACAATATCAATAATTAATTATTCAATTTTATCAAATTTAATGAGAATTGAAAAATTCAAAGTTTACAATGGCCCACAAAGGTTTCTAAAAATACTTGCTTTATGAGGTTTATTTTGCATGACCGTGACATCCCCCCAGGCAATGCATATGGCATGTGACTGTTGTGTTGTAATAATTATAATTATATAATTCTCTTGTGTTGTCATAACCATTAGCCTCTGCAACCCTTGTCCCCAGTCCCACAGAAGTAAGTCATTGTTGTCATTTTTAACCCTACAAAAGTAAGCAAGATATCTTACTGCACAATTCTAAATTCATTATTTTTAACTGTGTGAATTGCATTTTGTTTGCATTGTATTGCATTGCTCAGCCGACAAGGAGGAAATGGCAACTTGCAACGCAACAAAGGCTCCAGTACTTTGACATTGACACTTATAAAGTTATTCCTCCTTCTAAGTATGAAACCTCAATAAGTAAATGTAATGTTATTTATTTGAATGTAACACTATGGTCACATTTAATATGAGAATTTTAGGTGAGTATTGTCTTTGATCTGAAATTAAACTATTTAAATTCCTAACTTGGGTCAGTCAGAGGTCCTCTCTTGGCTCTCCTGACTCCTGTCACTTATTACTCTCCTGCACCTCTGCCCCCTCATTGTTTCTTTGTCCTACAGTAATTACAGAGTCAAAGACATCATCAAGTAGGAGCAAGCATGGAATATATCTACTTGGCAAGCCCCAACTGAATTTTTTGAGCCAAGGATTTATGGATTTGCCTGCCGTGATTCCATTTTTTAGCCATGAATTCTATTTCTTGGCAATGAAAAGCCATTTATGAGTTGCAAACTTGTTTACTAAGTCCCTGCATGTGTTAACTTAAATCTCTTATTTTATCCTAAAACAGTCAAATGGCCACAATAACATTTGTCTTTAGTGTAAGGTGTAAGCTGAACATGTGTTAGTGCAGCTGAGTGCCTGACTGCTCTGACGTGACAGTAACTATGCGTGATCTTCAACAAAACTCTTAGGACTTTAGGTCAACTTGTTGTCATAGTGGCATTGTTGGCGGGGGTGGTTTAGGCTACTTTGCAGCACACCCTCTTGTTCCTCTTATATGTTGTCCCCTTGTTCCCTCTTATGTGTGTTACTGTGTGTTTATATTGAAGTGTTTCTGTCTCTTATACACATCTCCATGTGTATAAGAGACAGTTCTAGGCCGTTGAAGCAATCTTGAGATGAGAATCTAGGAATC